CTGGAGGGGGCCCCCACCTGCCAAAACCTAGTGCCACCTGCAGAAGGCAGCAGCTGCTGCAGCCTGAGCAAGCAAGCAGAGAGCAGAGCCCAGCTCCCCCACGGGCGGCACAGCCAGAGTGGAGCCCAAGGGAGGGGCAGGTTGCCCACTGTGGACTCAGGCTGCCCTCCTCCTCGGACCGCTGCAGTCCAGTGGGACCCAGTGAAGCAGGACAGAGCAGGGCTGGGCAAGGAAGCTCCTTGACACTGCAAGCTCTGTGCTGCCATGGTGATGTGCTCCCTGCCTGCCCTGGAGCAGTGACGGGCACAACCCAGCACCACCACTCCTGCTGCTGCTGGGTGGGTGGGTAGGAGGCTCATTGACATGGTGGCATGGGGCTTGTAGCGGCAAGGAGCTTCCCGCCCAGCCCCTCTCTGCCCTGCCATGCTGGATCCCACCCACTCTGCCACGGAGGCCCCAGGGGGAGGGAGGCAGGAGAGAGAGCCTGAGCCCACAGAAGGCAGCCTGCACCTGCCCCTGCCCTGCATACAGATCTGGGGGACGTGCCCCAGTGTCCCCCCAGGAGTGCACAGCAGCAGGGAGCCCCCGCCAGGACCCTGCAGCTGTGCATTCTGGCCCCAGGCCCCAGACACCTCCCGACGGACAGCAGCCCCAGCCCCAGCCCTGCCCATCTCCCTCCCTCCCTCCCTCCTTATGGGGACCTCAATTCCCCACCCCCCCCACCAGACTTGCCTGCAGCAGCTGCTCTCCAGGCTGCCTACCAGCCACATGCAGGTACATGCACATGGCGCCCCCTGTGTGACCGCCCTCCTCCCACTCCCCACAGCCCCATGCAGGCTGGAACTCTGCCAGCCTGCAGAGAGCTCTTTATAACAGGGTAAAATCTACATTTCTCTGTTAAAATGATATATTCATGTTTTTCTCAGGGAAAAGGGAAAATCCACGTTTTTTTCTGTTTTTCTGTGAGAAACGGAAAACCTGGATCCCTGGGGATAGGCTTGCCTTGGATAAATCTAGCAGCACCACCATTAAGCATTAACTTATGAATTAGTGGAAAATATTGGCGGTGTCAACCTTAGCCCTTGGGTCTATTACAGAGCAGTTGGCTTCTCTCCAGACCTACCCTTTTGTAGCACATGCACTCTCTACAGTCTATGAGACTCACCAGCCTCATGTCCCCAGTCCTTTGATTTTATTCCCCTAAAGGGAATAACACAGCACAGCTAGCATATGGCACCCCCACAATGTTTCCAAAACCAAGAGCATATCTACTTAATGTATTTTCCAAGATAAAGGCCCATTGGGAGGACAAACTGGTTAGTTGGTCATGAAATAAATGCAGTATGGAAACCCTGTTTCCCCTCCTGCTTACACCAAAACCATGTTGCAACAGAGAGGGAGGCAATGACCTTTTCCTGACACCTGGGAGCTGCAACTGCCGCACCCTCTCCTGAAGTGCAGCAGTGGTGAAGCAGAGGTTTTAGAGGACCAAAACATTTCTGGGCAGTAGGTCTGAAGTTGATTTCAGACCTATTGCAAAATTAAATTAACATGCTAAGCTGTTGGACTCAAATCACTGAAAATCAATTATACAATTTCATGCAGTTTACTAAAAAGGGCAGATGCCACGTAATTCTAATAAACTACTGTTATCTTTCCGAGTTTTCTTCTTACTTTTTTAAATCAATTTATTCTTCCGATTGTAAATCTTGATTTTCTGATTACAGTGACAGGTTTCCAAAACATGAATGCTGCACTCACTACCTGTTTTATTTTTAATTTCACACTATCTAAAGCAGTGAACTGAGCACTGAGACCATTTCTCACTGACTACAGTTTAAGCAATTGCACAGTTGTTTTTCTCCCCCCAGTGTCATTAAAAACATGGTGCTTTTACCTTCTGTTTTGGGTTTATTTTTATCCAATTTTATAATTTGATACTTCTCTCAGTACTCCTCCAACCCTGCCCCAATGTTTGGATCAATACTTTTCTTTACGATTTTAAAAGCAAAAGCATTGACTGTATTTACTTCTGAAAATATTCTTTAAGTCCAGTTTATAAGAGTAGGCAGAATAAATTCTGTGGTCTTCTATCTTTCCCTTGTGAAATTAGCCCTCATTTCAAAATCAGCAGTTTCAATTAGGCACCAGCAGTCTGCCTCAACACAGGAAAGTGACTAAGTAAGCATGAAGAATTAATTGCTTCTAAGCTTCAGAGAATTAGTTTAGGTCATTAAAAATGTTCTGTAGTCTTATGTTGTATCTATTATTCCCAAATACCAAATTTAATATATTATGAAATATAGATGCTGTAGGAAGATATATTATGCCAACAGATGCAAGAGAAAAGGGAGAGGGGGAAATTCTGCTACACAAAGGTTCACCTTAAAGTCTGAAAGTGACAGTAACATACTGTCACCTTAACTCAGTTCTCTTCCATGCAAACCTCCAGTCATCTACTGAAAAACTTACAAGTATTACACATTCCAAAATATTATCAAAAATGTATTCCTTTCTGGAACATGTTAACTCACTTACTGGCATGTTCACAGTTTTGCTGCATGTTTTATCCAGGAAACATTACATACAGTAATAAGATACAAGAATTTTGGTATAAAGAGAGAATTTACAGAGGGCAGATGTGATATCTCAATCACCTTTTAGAAAATAA